ACTAAGAGATCAAAAAACTAGTGTTTAGCAGCACTTAACACTACTTTACTAGGGTTGTAACTGACTGGGAATAGAATGAGCATGGGTGGAAACACTTAGTAAGCACTCACACTGAGAAGAGAGAAGAACATCAGGGCTCACGACAGATGTGAGCATCGTAGGTACACATGTGCAGTTGGGCCTTGAAAGCAGAGCTCTGCCAAGGGGTAGTGTGGAAAATAAGAAAAGCTAAAGAACAAAATGCAAAAGGGGCCTGGAACAAAATTAAAGAGGAGAAGTCAAAAATGGTAGGCAGGAAAATATAGCATCACAGAACTTGGAAATTAGACAAAGAAAACTCTTTCCTGGATTTTGCTACTAGAAATATTTAAGCAACCAATAGTGCTTTGAATACTTTTGTACATCAAAAAGATGCACTTATGTGGAAAAATTGGCACCCCAATGCATCGGGAAAGTGAAGTAGACCAGTTGTTACAGAAAAAGTTTGACAATTCCTCAAAAAGGGGGAAAAAGATTGCAATATAATCTAGCTATTTCACTTATGGGGATATACCCCCCAAAAGGGATATGTGCATATCCATGTTCACAGCAATCTTTCCCTGCTACCCAAAAGACAGAAGCACTGTAGTTTCATCGATGGATGAATGGGTCAGCGCGCGCGCACACACACACACAATGGAATATAATTGAAACTTAAAAAGGGAAGCTATTCTGGCATATGCTGCAACGTGGAGCAAACACTAAAGACATGCTTGAAGCCAATCACAAAGGACAAATACTGCATGATTCCATTTACCTGAGGTACTTAAAATAGTCAGATTCCTAAACAGACTGAATGGTGGTTGCCAGCAACTGGGTGGAAAGGGCAATGAGGAATCAGTGTTCACTGGGTATGGAGCTTCAGTTTGGGAAGATGAAAACCCTCCTGGAGTTGGGTGGCAGTACAGTGTGAATGTACTTAATGCCAATGAGCTGCATACTCTTCCAGTAGTTAACATGGAACTTCTGGTTTCCAGTCCACAACTTAAAAGCTTGGAAGTCACCACTCCCTCTTAGCAATAAGTAAAAAGCTGAGCAAGCTAAAAGCCAACAACTCTTAGCTCTGTCAAAAAAAAAAAAAAAAAAAAAAACCTGAGGTAAAAAGGCTATTTATGGCCCACCTCACCATACTGGAGAGACAGTAAGGCAGATCTGGAGCATCACACCCTACCAGAGGAGGAAAGGTAAGAAAACAAGAACTATAATTAACTGCTGGAGGCTATAATGAATTGTGTGCACAACTTAGGGTTAAAAACTCCAGGGGAGACCCAGTGACAGAAGGTCCCCGAGCTTTTACCTCCAGGAGAAAGGTCACCTTTTGCTTTTGGCAGGGAAAGGGGAAAAGGAAACAGTATGGAATATGGTTCTAGAGCACCAGAGCATTTTGTTTTTAACAAGACCTGTTCTCAAGAAAATGATTTTGTAGCTGTGAATAAGAACAGTGGTGCATACCTGTAGTCCCAGCTACTTAGGTGGCTGAGGTAGGAAGATCAGGAGCCCAGGAGTTCAAGGACAGCCTGAGCAACATGGCAAGGCGTCATCTCAAGGGGGAATGGGAAGGGGGAAAGGAAAGGAAGGGAAGGGAAGAGAAAAGAGCAGAGCAGGGCATGGGAATACATGCCTGTAATCTAGGAGACTTGAGAGGCTGAGAGAGAACGATCACAAATTCGAGAGCAGACTCAGCAACTCAGCAAAACCCTATTTCAAAATGAAAAGTAAAAAGGGGTTGGGGATAGAACTCTGTGGTAGAGCACCTCTGGGTTAAATTATCAGTACTGAAAGAAAGAATGAAAACTATTTTACCAGAGCCTAACAGACATGGCAGGGTACGGGGGCAGATTTAATGCTGGCCGAGTTCACAGACCAGGGCCACTGGCTGACCAACAGACTAAGAACTAGTCACAACCTTATAGAATACTTACAGACCCCACTGGTTACACCACTAAAGGTCTATTTATCACAGGTCCTTTTACCAAAAGCATTGGGTTCGCCCTCCAATGAAAACCTAGAAGGCATACTATAGGGCAAAAACCACAGTATAAAAAAATTGAGAAAGCATCAGAACCAGAGTCACAGATGGCAGGAATGGTGGAAATATCACACAAGAAGTTTCTTAATACCAAGACTAATGTGATAAAGGCTTTAGTACAAAAACTTAAGACCACACATTAAAAACAGAAGGATACTGTAAAAGCAGAGATAACAAGTCCATGAAAAAACACTGACAGGAATGAAGAATGCCTTCAACAGGCTCAATTAGGAGACTGGACTAGATTCAGCTGAAGAAGGAATTTAACATTGAAGATATGACTATTAATTTGCAAAACTGCAAAGCAAAGAGGAAAAATGGCTGGGGGTGGGGACCAAACAAAATACTCAAGAACTGAGGAATGACTACAAAATCTGTTAACACATCCATGAGGTGGTGCCCGGACAGAAAGGGTGGGGGGAGAGAAAAAGAAGCAATATTTGAACCAAAAATGACTAAGAAAATTCCCCAAATTAATGTCAAGACACCAAATCTTAGGTCCAGGGAACTCAAGAGAACAAATTATGCCAAAAATTAGACCTAGGCATATCATAGTCAAGAGTCAGAAAATTAAAGAAAAACTCTTGAAAGAAGCCCAAAAAAGGGTGCTAGGGGTCAGGCAGCACACCTTATCAATAGAGGAACATAGTAAGAATTATATACTTCTTAGAAACCATGCAAGCAAGAGAATGGAGAAAAATATTTAAAGGGTTGTGAGAAAACCAACAACAAAACCACCAACTTATACACTGCAAAATTATTGTTCAAATTGTAGGAGGAATAAAGACTTCCTAGACAGAAAAAAAAAAATCAAGAAAATATATTGAAAAAAGTACTTCAGAGAAGGAAATTATATAGGTCATAAACCTGATTCTACATATTAAAAAAAGAAGAGCACTGGACAATGAACCAGGTTTAAAAAAATTTTTTTCAGGGGCTGCGGTTGTGGCTCAGTGGTAGAATGCTCACCTAGAATGTGTGAGGCACTGGGTTTGAACTTCAGTACCATATAAAAAATAAATAAATAAGTTAAAGGTATTGTGTCCAATAACAACTAAAAGAAACAAACAAAAAATAAAACAAAATCTTTTCATTTCTTATTCTTAATTGATAGCAGGTAAATTTGTCCAAAGTAAAAGTAACAACAATATCTTCAATTATGTGTGCTTTGGTATTAATGTTTATTTATGAAATAAGCAACAAAGATGGTTAAAGAAAGAGGAAGAACCAGGAATATTATATATTTGTACTATCATTACAAAAAGAAAAAAAGTTTAATTTATATGTTAGGAAAGCAGAGAAAATGGAATCAAAATGATTGATTGAATCACAAAAGACAGAAAAATTGTGAACAAAAACAGGAACAAAAAACAAGGGCATGGGATTGCAAATTGGTGCAACCATTTTGGAAAGCAGTATGGAGATTCCTCAGAAAACTTGGAATGGAATCACCATCTGACCCAGCTATTCCATTCCCTGGTTTATACCCAAAGGACTTAAAATCAGCAAACTACAATTACATGGCCACATCAATGTTTACAGCAGCTCAATTCACAATAGCTAAACTATGGAACCAACCTAGGTGCCCTTCAACAGATGAATGGATAAAGAATATGTAGTACATACACACAACAGAATATTACTCAGCCTTAAAGAAAAAAATGAAATTATGGCATTTGCAGGTAAATCAATGGAACTAGAGAACATCATACTAAGTGAAATAAGCCAAACCCCCAAAAAACCAAAGGCCAAATGTTTTTGAATAAGTGGATGCTGATCCATGGGGGATGGGTGGTGGTGGTGAAGAAACTCTGGATTGTGCAGAGGGGAGTGAGGGGAAGGGTGGGGCTGTGGGATGGGAAGGACCGCAGAATGAGACAGACCTTATTACTCTATAAATATATATGATTACACTCCTGGTGTGACTCGGCACCATGTTCAGCCAGAGGAATGAGAAGTTGTGCTCCATTTGTGTACAATGTGTCAAAATGCATTCTACTGTCATGTATAACTAATCAGAACAAATTAAAAAAAAAAAAAAACATATGCTTAAAGTGGTTAAAACAGCAAATTTGTGCACATTTTACCAAAATAAAAAATGCATTAATGAAAATAAAAATTAATAAAAACAAGGGCAAAAAAAACAAAAACATAAATTGATATGGTAGATGTTTCCTAATTATATTAATAACTATATTAAATGTCAGTGGTCTAAGTACATTAAGCAAGAGAGAGTAGATTTAAAAAAAAAAGCTACAAGAAATCCACTCCAAATATAAAGATGCACACAGATTAAAAGTAAAGTGATAGAGGGCTAGGTTGTAGCTCAGCGGTTGAACGCTCGCCCTGGGTTCAATCCTTAGCACCACATAATAAATAAAATAAAGTATTGTGTCTAACTACAACTAAAAAATAATTAAAAAAAAAAAAGTAAAGTGATAGAGAAAAATAACCCATGCTAACACTAGTCAAAAGAGCAGAGCAGCTATATTAATTTCAGATAGAGCAGATTTTAGAGCAGGAAAAGTTTTCTGAGCTACTAAAAAAGAAAAAAAAAAGTACTACATAACAATAAAGGGATGAATACTTAAAGAAAACAACAATCCTTAATGTGCATGTAACTATCGGTGTCAAAATACATGAGGAAGGCCAGTCAGGATGGCACGGGCCTGTTTTAATCCCACCTACTCAGGAGGCCATGGTAGAAGGATCACAAATTCAAAGCCAATCTGGACAACTCAGTGGGACCCTATCTCAAAATAAAATAAAAAGGGACACAGGGGAGCTCAGTGGTAAGTGCTTGAATTTTCTATTAGAGTTAGAGACTTCAACATCCCTCTATCAGAAATGGGCAAATCCTGCAGGTAAAAAAATCAGTAAGGCTAATTAAACTCAACACCATTAATTAACTGGATACAATGGTCTCACCCACCACCAACAGGTAGATCAGCATATTCTTCTCAAACTCTCATGGAATGTTCACCAAGATAGATGTCATTCTGGGCCATAAAACGTACCTTGACAAATTTAAAATAGAAATCATACAATGTTCTCTCAGACCACAATTAAACCAAACTAGAAATCAAAAACAGATAAATGGGGAAATCCCTAAATTCATGAAGATTAAGTAATAACATACTCTATATAACATGGTTCAAAAAAAAAAAGAGAAAAACATTTTGAACTAAACGATAATAAAAATACAACTTTTCAAAACCCATGTGATGCAACCAAAGCTTAGCTAGAAATTTACAGCACTGAATGCACATATTAGAAAATAAAAATCTAAAATCAATATTCTATGATTCTACCTTAAGAAATTAGAAAAAGTCCATCAAATTAATTCCAAAGTAAAAACAAGGAATAATAATTAGGGCAGAAGTCAATAAAATTAAAAATAGGAAATTAATGGAGGGAAAAAAAAAAAAAAATCAACAAAACCAAAGGGTTTTTTTTTTTTGTTTTTTTTTTTTAAGACAATAAAACTGATAGGTTTCTAGCCAGGCTAACCAAGGGAAAAAATTACTAACATCAGAAATGAAAGACAGGATAATCACTACATTTCCCATGGACATTAAAGGAACAGTAAGAGGCTGAGCATGTAACTCAGTGCTACTGTATGTAAGTCTCTGGGTAAAAAAAAAAAAGAAGAAGAAGAAGAAGAAGAAAGAAGAAAGAAAATTGAAAGGAAAATAAAGAAATAACTACTCTATGCTCAAAATTTTAATAACCTAGATGAAATAAAATAATTCCTTAAAAGAGACAATCTGCCAAAACTTAAATAAATAAGACACAATAGCCTACATTTATTTTTGAAAATTGAGTCAGTAATTAATGAACTTCAAAACAACAAAAAGTACCTGGCCCAAATGGGTTTACCAGTGAATCCGACAAAATTTTTAAGGAAAAAAATTATACCAATTCTCTACAGTCTCTTTCAGAAGATGGAAAGAAGCATAGAGAATACTCTCATTCTATGAAACCAGCATTATCACAATACCAAAATCAGAGAAAGATATTACAAGAAAAGTACAAATCAATCTCTCTCATGAACGTAGATGCAAAAATCCTCAACAAAATATTAGGAAATCAAATTCAACAATGTATAAAAAGAATTACATACCACAACCAATTACTTACCTCAGCTCTCTTTAACATCTGAAAATCAATTAATTTAATCCATCCATCAACAGGCTAGAGAAGAAAAAAAAAATCACATGATCCTATCAATAGATGCAGAAAAAGCATATGACAAAACCCACTAAACATTTACAATAAAAACTCAGAAAACTAAGAATAGAGGGGCTGAGAATATAGCTTAGTAGCAGAATGCTAGCATGCAGGAGGCCCTTGCTGTGATCCCCAGCAACAAGAACAGCAAATAGACAAGGAAGAGGAGAAATAATTAAGAAAACTAGGAATAGAAGGGAGCTTCCTCAACCTGATAAATAATACCTACAAAAATCTATAGGTAACATCACAATTAATGGTCAGAAACTTGAAGCTTTTCCATTAGGATCAATAATGGGACAAAGGAAATACCTTCTTAACATCCCTTTTCAACACTGTACTCTAAGTCCTAACTAATGCAATAGGACAAGAAAAGAAAATTAAAACTATACAGCTTGGGAAGAAAGAAATAAAACTTTGTTCACAAGTAAGATGATCATCTACGTACAAAATCCAAAAGAAAGAAATAAAACTTTGTTCACAGGTAAGATGATAATCTACGTAAAAAATCCAAAAGAACGTAGACACACAACATCCTGCACTAAAAAGTGACTATACCAAGTTTGCAAGATACAAAGTTAATATACAAAGGTCCTATATACAACAATTAAGATGGAACTTGAAATTTAAAAAACACATTACAGCCAAGTACCATGGCACATGCCTACAGTCCTAGCTAAATGGGAGCTGAGGTATGAGAATTATCTGAGCCCAGGAGTTCCAAGCGGGTATGGAATTTCTGGGCAACACAAGGACACCCTGTTTCAATAAAACAACAAAATTATTATTTACATTAGCATACCCCCAAATGAAACACTTAAGTATAAAACTAACAAAATAGCCAGGAGCGGTGGTGGAATTACACACCTGTAATTCCAGCGGCTTGGAAGGCTGAGGCAGGAGGATCGTGAGTTCAAAGACAGCCTCAGCAACTTAGCAAGACATTTAGCCACTCAGTGAGACCTTGTCTCTAAATAAAATATAAAATAGAGATGGGGATGTAGCTCAGTGGCCGCGTGCCCAAGTTCAATCCCTGGTACCCAAAAGTAAAATAATAAATAAGTATAAATAAAACTAAAATAAATAGTAAAACATGTACAAGATAAATATAAGGAAAACTATAAAACTCTGATAAAAGATATCAAAGGAACTAAACAACTAGAGAGACATAACATTCATGGATAGGAAGGTTTATCTCTATATAATTCAATGCAATCCTGATAAAAATATGATGCATTTCATGAACAGTTAAATACAAAGAATTCTGAAAACAAAACAGTAAGAAAATGAATAACCCAACTGAAAACTGGCAAAAGACACAGATACTTTCACCAAAGGAGATACACTGATGGAAATAAGCATACAAAAACATGTTCAACACATTATTAGGAAACTGAAAATTAAAATACTAAGATACTGCTACACATCTATTAAAACTGTCAAAATAAACTACCAAGTGCTGACAACAATGTGAAGCAACAAGAATTCTCACTCAGCACTGGTGGGAATTCAAAATGGTACAGACTTTTTGGAAACTTGCACACTGATTATTTAAAGCATCTTTATCCACAACATGGAAGCAACCAAGATGTCCTTCAGTTAACTAAGTGAAAAAATTTTAGCACACTCAGATAATGTATTATTATTCAATGCTAAAAAGAAAGAAATTATGCAGGGCACAGTGGCACACACCAGTAATCCAAGCAGCTCAGGAGGCTAAGACAGGAGGATCTTGAGTTCAAAGCCAGCCTCAGCAACGGTGAGGTGAGGCACTAAGCAACTCAGTGAAACCCTGTCTCTAAATAAAATATAAAATAGGGCTGGGGATGTGGTTCAGTGGTTGAGTGCCCGAGTTCAATCCCGAGTATCTGCCCCCTGCCCCCCCCCAAAAAAAAAGGGAAATAAGAAACAGAAATAATTATCAAGCCATGAAAAGGCGGCATAGACCTATAATCTCAGCTCCTGGGGAGGCTGAGGCATGAAAATCACAAATTCTAGAACAGCAAGACCCTCCCTCAAAATAAAATAAAAATGCCTACGGATGTAGTTCAGTGGTATAATGCCCCTGGGTTCAAGTCCCAGTACCACCAAAAAAAAAAAAAAAAAAAAGAAAGAAAAGAAAATCTAAATGCATATTACTAAATGAAAAAAGCCAACCTGAAAAAAATTCCTACATGACATTATGGAAAAGGCAAAATATAAAGATGGTACAAAGGTCAATAAATGCTAGAGGTTGGAAGGAAGGATGAACTTATTGGAGCAGAGGATTTCTAGGGCAGAGAAACTATGCTGTGTGATACTATAATGTACTACAATGGTGAATACATGTCATTACATATTTGTAAAAATCCACTCTTGAGTGATCCTGTAATACCAGCAACTCTGGAGGCTGAGGCAGGAGTATTGAAAGTCTGAGGTCAGGCTGGGCAACTTAGGGAGACCCTATTTTAAAATAAAAAAGACTGGGGCCAGGCACAGTGGTGCACAACACCTGTAGACCTAGCAGCTCAGGAGACTTGAGACAGGAAAATCTTGAGTTCAAAGCCAGCCTCAGCAATTCAGTGAGGCCCTCAGCAACTCAGCAAGACCCTATCTCTAAATAAAATACCAAAAAAAGGGGGGTGGGGGCTGAGGAAGCCAGGCGCAGAAGTAATCCCAGCAGCTCAGGAGGCTGAGGCAGGAAAATCATGAGTTCAAAGCCAACCTCAGCAAAAGCAAGGTGCTAGGCAGCCTCAGTGAGACCCTGTCTCTAAATAAAACATAAAAATAGGGCTGGGGGTATTGCCCAAATTCAATTCCGGGTACCACCCACCACCAAAAAGAAGGGCTGAGAATATAGCTCAGTAGTAAAGCACCCCTGTGTGCAATCCCCAGGAGGAAGGAAGAAAAGAAGGGAAAAGGAAAGGAAGGAAGGAAGGAAAGAAATAAAGAGTAACCCTAAAGTAAACTATGGACAATAATATTATCAACGTAGGTTCATCAATTGGAAGAAATGTACCATTCTCATGAAGGATGTTGATATGAGGGGATGTTATAAGAATATGTATGGCAACTCTCTGCACTTCCTGTTCAGTTTTACTGTAAACCTAAAATTGGTCTAAGAAACAGTTTATTTTAAAATGGTTTAAAATGTAAATTTTGTTATATATTTAATGACAATTTTTAAAAAGACTTGCTAAAGACTGACCATTTATAATAGCACTTAAAATCAATGTCAATCTCATTTCAGGAGGGAGAAAGAAAAGCTTTCTGAGAAAAGTATTCTCCCCACTGCTTCAACAGTTGTATTTTAAATGCAAGGACAAAAACCCAAAGAACTCAGCTAATAACAGTATTTTACTTCTACACTAAACAGTGTAGTTTTAAAGGATTCTAAAAACAAATAATTTTTTATATCAAACTAAAAGCAAGTAAAATTGCTGGTAATAACAACAAAAATCTAAAGCCCACTAATATGGGAAAGGCTATATGTACACTCAGTATACAAAAAACTTAAAAGAATGAAGTAGATCAATATATAACATATTGGACACAGTTATTTTTATAAAACACACATAACCAGCACTACATTTTTCCTATAAGCAGATATACCTATAAGCATGCAAAAATATGTTTAAAAAAAATCAAGAAAGTGGACATTAAATTAGTATCAGCAAAAGATGGGAAATGAACCAGGAAAAGGTGATCAGAAGAGATTTTAGCCTTCTCTATGTTTTTCCCCCAAAATAAATTTATCACCTAGTACTTGAGTAAGTTTCGTAAAAGCTACAACTTTCTGTCCCAAACAGAAAAAGGACAATGAAATAAAAAATAAAATTTCACAGTATCCTACAACTCAAGATTTCACAGCCAAAGCCATAAAAAGCTATATTCATTATTCATTATACAGTCAGTTTGGCCTTTACCAGCAATTCTGTAACAATTTATGACTGACCCTAGAATACCTAGGGGGGAAAACACAAAAGTCACAAATTCAAATTATGCAAAGTCATTTTTTATAGGAAAAGGTGAACTTCAATACCATTCCCATATTTTGCATATAGAGAAAGTAGTGTTTCTCTTAACTACCATGGCTAAACTGCCTCCCTTCCTGAGGCTGCTGCTCTATCTTTGAAGATGAAGATGAAGGAGGGAGATGGAGGAGGAGGGAGAGGAGAAGAGGGAAGGGAGGAAACAAAAAAGAGGAATATCCTACACACATCTTAAAGGAATAAAGAGTTAAAAAAAGTAACATGTAAAGAACCAAGCACAAACGACAGCTTACTAGCAGGCATTCCCAAGCAAAACAGAAGTAACATTTGCCAGATCTGAAGGGTAGGTTAAGTGAGCAATGGCAGGCTGCAGGTTTAAACTAAACATAAGACACTTAACTAGTGTTCCAATATGGATATGAGGTACTCAAAAGCTCCTGTTAGTGCACTTATACTCACAGGTGAAATGATTGGATTATGAGAGCAGTAACCTATCAATCCATTCCAGTCTGAATGGACTGATTGGGTGGTCATTGTAGGCAGGTGGGGAATGGGTGGAGGAGGTCCGTCATTAGGGGTATAACCCGTCACACACACCCCCATGTCTGCCTTCTTCCTCAGAGCCCTGTCCCCATGATGCTCTGCCTCAGCTTGATTCCAGAGCAATGGAGGTGGCATCTATGGACAGGACCTCTGAAACCTTGAGCCCCTAAACACTTTCCCTCCTCTAAGTTGCTCTTGTCAGGTATTTTGGTCACAGTGACACACAAAAGCTAACTAAAACTAGTAACTAATGTCAAGAAGGGAAAAACTATTCCTGATAGCATGGTAAGCGCAGGAATGGCCCTCTCTGATTTTATCAGGGGGTAGACACAAACATGCCCAGCAATGTTTGTTTTTAATCATCCCTCTCTAACCCATATCTTCTATAATCCATTCTCATTCTTTCCTCTTCCACCCTGGAAGATTATTAAACTCTGCTTTTCAAAGTCTGATGAAAAAAAGTTATGCCGCCTATGTATTTCAAAATCCTTGGCTCCACTGGAAGATACTAAGTCAGGATCAAAGCAGCTCATACCAGCACCAACCCTCAGCCCTCCTCAAGGAAAGTTATGGCAGAAGCAGGGTGGCACCAGAACTTACAGGGCCTGCTGCCAACTGTCACCAAATGAGTTCTACCACTAGCCCCAATCTGCACACCTTTAGGTCCCTCAATGGAGCTTTTGTTCCTGATTTGCCTCCTTTTAACTTACTAGTCAAAGTTAAGACTGTTTTTTTTTAATTTCTTAGTTGTCAATGGATTTTATTTATTTACATTCAGTGCTGAGAATCGAACCCAGTGCCTCACACATGCTAGATAGACAAGTGCTCTACCACTGAGCCACAACCCCAGCCCTAAAAAAAGATTTTCTTATAAAACAGTCCCTCCACCCCCTTCACACTCTTCTTTTCTGAATTTCCTCAAAATCGACTGGACTTATAATCTATGTTGACATGCATCCCCTTTCCACATTGTTTTTGGTATTCTGTACTTGGCTGGAGTCACATAAAGGTCATATTAATGTTTTCTAGCAATCAAAAGATCCCATTTCAAAACAGTAATTATCCTTGAAATTTTTCCTATTTTTGGAAATAAAAATGAGCTAACTAATGTAAAAGAGTAGAAAATCGAAGAAAGGGGCTCAGTGGCAGAGCATTTGCCTAGCAAATGTGAGGCACTGAGTTTAATTCTTAGCACCACATAAAAATAAATAAAAAGAAAATCTAAGAAATTCTTCATCAACACAGGAACAATTCATATTAAAGGAAACATTCATATTTGCTAGCTTTTAACAAAATGAAAATCCTCTATTATTGTTTTTAAAGTTTCTTAAATACTGATACTTATTTAAAACATCTATCTGGTACTTGGTAACTCAGAGATAGTGTGACTCTAAAAGAGTAATCCAAACTGGCAGATAACACCAGCAACCTAAAAATAATAAACATATCTGCTAGCCTGGCCAGCGTGAGAAGCACTCTGGGCAGACATCTTAAAACCCTGGATAAGGCCAGACACAGTGGTGCATGCCTGTAATCCAAGGACCTCAAAAGGCTGAGGCAGGAGGATCACAAGTTCAAGGTCAGCCTGGGCAATTTACCAAGGTCCTGTCTCAAAATAAAAAGGGCTAGGGATGTAACTCAGTGATGGAGCACCCCTGGGTTCAATCCTTATATCTATCTCTCTCTATCTCTCTCTCTCTCTCTCACACACACACAACACACACAAAAATAAATAAATAAATAAGATATTAAAGTGTTTCTTGAAATGCAAACCTGGACTGAGGGGCTGGAGTTTGTGGCTCAGTGGTAGAGCACTTGCTAGCATGTGTGAGGCACTAGGTTCGATCCTTAGCACCACATATAAATAAACGTATAAAATAAAGGCCCATCAACATCTTTAAAAAATATTAAAAAGAAAAAACTGGAATGATAAAAACAAGGAGAAAATTCTTAGTCACCTCCATCCTTATCCCAGAAGGTTCACTAGACGCAAAGCTTCATGAAGGCATAGAGTACTGTCCATTTTATTCTTTGATAAATATTAAATATCCAGACAGTATTTTGTCCATAACAGGAGCTCAATAAATACTTGTTGAACACTGATAAAACTGTAGCTAGGATGTTTCTGTTGAACTGGAACATGATAAACTGTGACCACAATCTCAAAAATAAAAGAGGAAATAAGCTTCCAGAAACAAACAAAAACCAGACCAGAAAGTACGAAAACACTAGTATTACCTGTAGAATATATGGTCTATATTGTTGAAACAACACATTATAAGAAGTATACTTACAGAATAAGAGACCACCAATAAAGAACAAGCAGACTTGGTGAAGAACTAGAATTTATCAAAAATTTAAAAATACGATGGAGCCAGGCACGGTGGTATATGCCTGTAATCCCAGCACCTTGGGAAGCTGAGGCAGAAGGATTCTAAGTTCAGCCTCAGCAACTTAGTGAAGCCTTAAGCAACTTAGCAAGACCCTGTCTCAAAATAATACATAAAAACAGCTGGGAATATAGCTCAGGGTAAAATTCCCCTGGATTCCATCCATAGTACCAAAAAAAGGTGTAATGAATGAAATTAAATTTGGTCAATTGATAAAATACAAACTGGACACAGCTGAAAAGAGAATTGTTAAAACCAAAGATGGAGTTGGAAAAAAATGCCCTTGAAGATAACATGGAAAGATGAAACAATGAAAAACGTTAAAAACAGCATAGAGTGCTCACTTCAGTCACACATATACTAAAATTGGAATGATACAAAGATTAGCATGTGCAAGGATGACATGGAAATTTGTGAAGCATACCATATTTAAAAAATTTAATTTTTTTAAATAAAGCACAGAATATGAAGGGAGAAGGTACAAGAAAGTTCTAAACAGTACCAGGAAAAGGTAACTGAAAAAGCTGGAGAGACAACATCAAAACAATATACAGCTGAAAATTTTTTTTAATTAAAGAAATGTACCAATCCTCAGGCAGAGGAAGTATAAGAAATAAAAATCTTTTTGTAAATAATTCTTAGTGAAGTTGAGGAAGAGAGGGCAAAGTTTTAAAACGGGAAACCACTTAGAAAGTAGGTATTACCTACAGAGGAACAACTGACAACTAACTTCTAAATGATCTCAACAGCAACAATGGAAAAAGAAACACCACCAAAGTGCGAAGGGAAACACTCCTCCATCAGAAATCAGACATCAGGCAACACTGACTTTCAAGAATGATAATGTAAAAATGCCTAATTTGTGGGATTTTAAGTGCACTAATGAAAACAGGCCAATAATAGAAAACAAATTGGGAACTGGTGTAAGTGTAAAGTATGCTAAGATTCTTGCGATGGTAAAGATATTACTCCAGGTTCTAAATCTAAAATATCTAAGATTACCATCAAACGTAGTATATAATTTAAGGGGGAAAAAATCCCACAATACATAAAGTAAGATAAGAAAAACAGAAAAAAAAAAGTCATGTTAGTACAATAAGAAAGTACAACATAAGAAAGTAGAAATAAATCAAATATTTCAATCCCAAATAATGTAAATGCAGTAACTCACCAATTTAGAATCAATTTACAAACCACAATCCAGTTACTTTCAAGGGCACATCTTAAAAGTTAAGGTCACAAAACAAACACTTGAAAGCAAAAGGTCAGAAAAAGATATTTTAAGCAAACACTAACCAATCAAGTCACTTGGTATAGCAATGTAGTATCTGACAAAATTCACCCTAAGGGGAAAAACATGCTTAGAGACAAAGATTTACAGAATGACCAACTGTAAGTCACTGGCAATTCAAAAATTCTAAACTTATAGAAGCAAAGTAAAAACTGAGAACTACAGGAATCTGACAAATCTTCCACCATACCAAGTAATTTAACAACCCCTCCAGCTCATAACTAATAGAACAAGCAGAAAAAACTAGTTAAGGATATTATTGTCAATGTGAAGTCAATGAATGTGTTTCATCTGGTAGACATGAAAAACCCTCACCTTAAAACCTGAAACATTCTTTTAAACACAGGTGGAATATTGAAGAAAATCTGTCACAAACCAAGTACTAAAACAAACCTCAACTAACTTCAAAGAATCAAAAATCACATTAGACACATCTTAACACAAAGTAAGTTAGCAATCAGTAACAAAGACTAAGGGGCCAGGGTCGTGGCTCAGTGGCAGAGCACTTGCCTAGCACATGTGAGGCACTGGGTTCGATCCCAGCACCACATAAAAATAAAAACAAGGTATAAAAAAATTACAAGGATTAAAAAAAGACAAAGAAGAACTCATAACAGAAATCATGAACACATTCCCACCTAAAAGATAAAATTCTACATAGCAAAACTTATGAACCACAGCTAAAAGTGGTACTTAAAAGGAAATCACTACTTTATTCAAATATGGGTGACATATAAGTATATAAAAGCACATACAAAGGCTAAAAATTAATGATCTAAACATTATTTTTAAGTTAAATAGTACAGGGCATGGTGGAGCAAGCCTAGGGAGGATAAGGCAGGAGGATGACAAGGTTGAGGCCAGTCTAGGCAACTTAGCCAGACACAATCTCAAAATTTTAAAAATAAAATAAAAAGAACGGAGGATATAGCTCAGTGGTAGAGCATCTGAGTTCAAATCCTAGTTCAAAAAAAAAAAAAAAATCTTGTTTTGTGACAAAGTTTCCCTAAATTGCTAAGACAGACCCTGATCTTATTGATCCCCCTGCCTCAGCCTCCCAAATTGCTGGGATTATAGGCATGCACCACTACCATGACTAACTTTTATCATTCTTAACTTGTTAAAGAAAAAGTACCCACACATTTAATTGTGAAAAATGAAACCATTTTCTTTGAAACTGCTGACAATGGTGCCTGCCTTTACCATGTATGTTCTCCACTGTGATGGCTGTCCCAAGCAGCGCAGGAGGCCTAGAATGTAAGATCATTTACAGTTAAGGATTACTGAGAAAGAAAAAAACAAAACTGTTATTATTCAAAAATGAGATGAGTATCTACATAAAAACCCCAAAAGAGCCCACAGGCCATTTATTACATTGAAGAAGTTACTGCATGTAAAAGCAAATATAAGTCAACTATACTTTCATTTCCCAGCAAACAGAAAATTTAACTTTTAAAAACATCATTTACAATAGCACAAAAGCTATAACATACCCAAAGAATAAATCTAACAAAAGATGTGTAAGGGTTAGGCATGGTGACAGAGACCTATAATCCCGGCTGAGGCAGGATTGTAATTTGAGGCCAACTTAGGCAATTTAACAAGACTCTGTTTCAAAATAAAAAAAATAAAGAGATGGGGATGGAACTCACTGACAGAGCACCCCTGAGTTCAATCCCCAGTACCCCACTCCCAAACATACACAAAAGCATTAAGAAAAAAAGATGTGCAAGACTTGGAGGGGGGAAAAAAAACATAAAACTTTAAAAAATAACTAGATAACCAGGTGTGGTGATACACGCCTGTAATCCCAACTGCTCGGGAGGCTGAGATAGGAGGATTTCAAGTTCAAAACCAGCCTCAGCAACAGCAAGGCGCTAAGCAATTCAGTGAGAACTTGTCTCTAAATAAAATACAAAAAAGGGCTGGGGATGTGGCTCAGGGATTGACTGCCCCTGATTTCAATCCCCGGTACCACCCCCCCCCCACCAAAAAATAAAAAACAATAAAAAACAAGTTATAAATAAAAAATCTGTTTACTCATCTATCTCAGTTGAAGGAAGGTTAGAAAGAGGACTAAAAGGACCCAATTCCTTTTGTACTTTTATATTCTACGCTTTTAATAAATATCATCTTTTAAAATCCTATAAATACAGAAAAAATAAGCCTCAAAATGGGAAAAGGTATTTGTCGCACAAATAATTAATAAAAATCAGAATATATAAGAATTATTACAATTAAGAAAAGCTACACAAATAGTGTGAGAGGGCAGACATTTCACAAAAATAAAAACACAAATAGCCGGGGCTGGGGTTGTGGCTCATCAGTAGAGTGCTCACCTAGCAGTAGAGGCGCTGGATTCAATCTTCAGCACCACATAAAAATAAATAAATAAAAGGTATTGTGTCCAGCTACAATTAAAAAAAACTAAAAATATATTTTAAAAAATTCAAATAGCCAAGAAAAATACAAGATGCTGCTCAACTTTATTAATAATCAGAGAAAAGATAAAAATAAAAAGTGCAAAGTATATGGGCAGATTTTTCTCCAAGGATATGAAATTAACCTATATATAAACTTTTTAGATACCTGTAATCCCAGCACATACCTATAATCCCAGAGATTTGGGAGGCTCAGCAGGAGGAACCCAAATTCGAGGCCAGCCTTGGCAATTTAACAAGACTGTCTCAAAACGAAATTTAAAAGGCTGGAGAATTAGCTCAGAGTACTTTCCCAGCATGCAGAAACCCTTGGATTCAATTCCCAGTACCACAAAAAATACAACCAAATTGTCAAATATGAAATAGTCTGTATGAAACAATCCTCAGCACCATATAAAAAACAAGTAAATAAAACAAAGGTATTGTGTCCATCTACAACTTAAAAAAAAAAAAAGTCTGACAATCCAAGAGCTGGTGGAACTGTACATGAGCACTGTTGGCAGTGGAATCCCACGCAACTGCTTAGAGAAACAAGCTGCATCATCTCCTAAACAAAATGGAAGGGGTAGATACCCCACTACTCTGCAATTCTCTCCAAAGCCTACAACCTGGAGAGGTACTTAGCAATTGTTGACAGCAGCCTTCTCTCTCACTGGAAACAATCCTATTTGCCAATGACAAGATGGCAAGTAAAATGAGACCCTGTCAGCCTCAAATATAACACAAAAGTGGAAAGGAATAAACTGCAGTTCTATTTGTCACTGTGGACAAACCTCATATCTCTTCCCACCCTTCCCAGTCTCTCCCTTGCTTTGCCATTCTTGCTTGGAAAACCACAACCCCATAAATGAAGAACCACATGCTGGGCTTCCAGGGAAACAACAGAACTGTGCTGTCCTGCTTTTCAACTTGGGGCCACTCTGCTCAGGCAGGTCACCTACCCACCTTACCTGCTAACCCATTCCTGCTACTGTTGTTTTGGTACTGGGGACGGAACCCAGGGGTGCTTTACCACTGAGCCACATCATCAGGTTTTTTGGGTTTGTTTTATTTTTTAAATTTGAGACAGGGTATTGCTACATTGCTGAGGTTGGCCTCCAACTTATGACCTCATACCTCAGCCTCCTAAACTGTTGGGATGACAGAGGTGCACCACCAGGCCTGGTTCCCATTCACATCTTTTCTTTCCCCACTCTCCTCATTCTCAGGCTCACTCCAACTCCCCCTCATCCTCACTGAGTGCTGAGAATTTTTTCCAGACTTTCACTGAGAGGAAAAAAACAGGAAAGAAAATGTCCCTGCACTCCACTACTCCACTGCTCCACCGCCCTGCATCTGCTTTCCCTCCTCTCACACAGAAACCCATGGACACCAACTCTCTACATGGGCCGGCAGTCTAGTCCCTGATGTCTTCTCAAGACCCAGACTCCAGCAAGTGTCACCTTTCCTACTTCATTTCCCACCAAAATGACAAAACCTTGTGGTTTCTCCCATCACAACAAAACCTAGTCTCCTCTCATCCCTGTGGCAAACCCCCTTGACAGAACAGTGTCTGCAGTCCTCCTCTCTCCATCCCCGACTTCAGGCCTTCTTGCCCTGCCTGGGAAGGCTCTCATGGTCATCCTTAACTTCCCTGCCACCAATGCCAGGGTGAAGCCAGATTTAAAATTAGGCAGTCAGTGTAGTTAGGTAAATCGGGTCTAATATCGAGTGAAATCTAAAATGGAGGCCATGTTGAAAATGAATTTCAGGAAAAGTTGAGCAACTCTCGGAATATTAATGAAGTCCAGGAAACAGCCCCCAACAGATTTGAAGATAGCCCATCCCAAAGAAATGTTAATGAACAGCAAACTTGAAGATGCTGAAGTGCCCAGATTACTTCTTTGGCCCACGTGTGTCCCAACCCTTCGGGCCTTCCCACCTACATTCGCCCTTCAATGGATTCCACCTCTTGGGTCCCCTTCTTCCTCCGGGAGAAGTATTTTCTGCTGTCCTTTAATAAACTTCTAATTTTCCACTCTGACCTTGCCTCGGCGTGCTTCTCTGGTGTTATTCTTCAACATTGGGGAAGCAAGGACTCGTCACCGGTCAACAGTGGTAACAAGGGGACAAATCTTAGCCCTCACCACACTGGACCTTAGGGCAGTAGCATCTAGCACAGGTTCCCACTTCTCTCAGGACTCTTCCCCAGGCTTCACTGCTGCCACACTTGCCTGGTTCCTCCTACTTCCAAGGTTGCTCTTTCTGGGCACTCCTTTCCTCGGCACCCTGGCTCAGCCTCAAGACTGCAGCGTCATCTAAACATGGAAGATTCATGTTGCTATCAGCAGCCCAGAACCCTCCCCTGAACTCCAGAGACCTTCATCCTACACATCTCCAGCCTGCTCTCTAAAAGCTTTACAAACTATACAGGTCCAAAACTCAACTCCTGGGGTTGGGATTATGGCTCAATAGTAAAGCGTTTGCCTAGCACATGTGAGGCACTGGGTTTGATTCTCAGCACTACATATAAATAAATAAAGGTCCATTAACAACTAATAAAATATTTAAATAAAAGAAGAAAAAAAAACCAACTCCTGATCTTACTTCCAAAACCTGCTCTTCCAAAAGTCTTCTTCACAAATGGCAACTCCCACTGTGAGCAAAAATTCCTGGTATCATCCTTCACTTCTCTCACACCCACACCCAATCTGCCAGCAAATCCTGTCTGCTCTCCCTTCAAGAAGGATCCAAAATCCAACCACTTCACACTACCCCCTTCCCCTTCAGTCCAAGCTGCCATGAATGCTCTGCTGGATCAGTGCCACAGCCTCTAGCCTCCTTCCAGCAGCACAGGGACAGCTATTCTTAACACAGCTACAGGGGGACCTTTAAGAAACCATACCATGTCACACTTCTGCTCAAAACACTGACTTCCCCTCTCAAAGAAAATAACAAAATCTTTACAAAGGCCTAGGCCTGGAGACCTGGCCTGGAGACCCACCCTAGCGCCCTGTTGGCACTTGCCTTCAGGCACACTGGCCTCCTAGAGCCCCTCCAACAAATTACCCTCTGCCTGTAAAGCTGCCTCCACCTGTGGGCCCAGGGCTTGATCCCTCACCTCTACACAGGACCTCTTCTCAGCAAGGCCTACCTGATCACTGCATTTCATCTGCAAACAGCCCACTCACCCACTTCCCTTGCTTTACTTCTTTTCCCTACTTCTATCACCAGATAGCAACTGAACCTTCCACTCACCTGTTAACTGTCTTTCTCCCACTAAAATGAAAGCTCCAGGAGGGCAGGGACTTCTGTCTGCTTTTCTCACTAACATACCCAGCACTGGAACAGTACCCAAGACACAGTACTCAAACAACTGAATGCATGGATCCCAAAAACAATGTTGAAAAGGAAAAAGTCACAGAACAAAGTGACTCACTTTGTATAGTTTAACAGGAGGCAAAACTTATTAAATAAAGGTACACTCATAGATGACACCACCATAAAAGTAAAGCCTTAAAATAAAATGTCTTAAGGAGCTCAGAAAGAGGAAGGCAGACAAGAAAGTGGCACAGGGAACCAAAGGCAGTGACAACATTCTATTTCTTAATCTAGTCAGTGGGTACACAATTGTCAGTTTTAATTTTTAAGAATATCTGCATACAATATATACTCCTTATCTCACTAAATATTCAAATTTTTAAAGAAGGTTAGAATGAGTACTGGAAAACTATGGGCCACAGACAAATCCAGCCCACCACCTATTTAGATTGTGAGGTTCCACAGGAAGACGGCTACCTTCCTCAGTTTACACACTGGCTGTGCTGCTT